TACAGAGAAGGAGGGGGGGGGGAACATCTTCCCCTACTCCACTTTTGGTTGCAAAGCCCCCGAGACACCCGCAAGGGCCCCGAATTTTTAGCAGAGGATCCCAAGTTTTAGGAAAGGACCCGAATTTTTACCGAAGGACGCTGATTTTTAGCGAAGGACTCTCATTTTTAGCAAAGGACACTAATCTTTAGCAAAAAGGACGCTAATTTTTTTAGGAAAGGACGCTAATTTTCAGAAAAGGACGCTAATTTTTAGCAAAGGATCCTCATTTTTAGCAAAGGATCCTCATTTTTAGCAAAGGATCCTCATTTTTAGCAAAGGCCGCTAATTTTTAGCGGAGGACCCTCATCTTTTAGCAAAGGACCCTCATTTTTTTAGCAAAGGATCCTCATTTTTGAGCACGGGGGCTAATTTCGGAGCTTAATTAACGGCTTGAATTGGGGATGGGGTGGGATTCCCCTTTTGGGGTTGCCACCGGTTGTAACCCTCCCGTTGCCTCCGGCAGGAGGGAGCCTGCACGAAACTGGACGAGGACATCCTGGACATCCCTTTGGACGATCCCGACGCCAACGCGGCGGCCGCCAAGATCCAAGCTAGTTTCCGCGGCCATATGACCCGCAAGAAGATCAAAGGGGGGGAGATCGATCGGAAAACCAAGGACGCCGAGTGCGCCAACAGCACCCGCGGAGGCGACCTCCGCAACGGCGACTAGGTACGCCCCCAAATCTCCCTTCCTCCCACCCCCAAAATCGCTTCGTTTTTCTCAAGGGTGCCGCTCGGAGCATCCTTCCCCGCGCCAAGTGGGGACGGAGAATCCTTCCCCGCGCCGCGTCGGGATGGAGAAGGGGGTTTGGTTTTTTGGGTTTTTTTATTCCCAAGAGGCGAAAGCACGCAGGCAGCCCCTGCCTGCCCTAATTTTGGGAACGCGCCGTAGTAGTTAGGATGGGAAGGCGAAGCCCTAGATTTGAATTGAATTTCTCCCTTAGCAACACCACCCCGAACGCCTCGCCTCAGCACATGCTATTTTTAAAAACCTGTGTCACAGTCTCCTGGCAGGAAAAGGTAAATTTAAAAAAGCGCCCACGGTACCCGGAGCGCGTGGCAGCGGGGCCCGGGGAGGGGCGGGAGGGCGGTCGCGGCGT